AATGCACACCGAGGGCATAGCTATCATGATGTCACTAACGGCAGTGAAGGCCCTGATGCAATGGGAGGCGATCTCATTGCATGCCAAGCAATCCTCAACTGGAAACTTACGGAAACCTCCGAAGTGAAGACGGGAGAAAGGCAAGGCTGCCTACTACAACCAGTGATTTTCCTGATCGCAGTAGATTGGATAATGCGACAGACAACGGCAACCAACGAGGGAACAGTCATCAAATGGACAAACACAAAAAACTTAGAGGATCTGGACTTCGTCGATGATGTATGTCGGATTTCCCACAAACTGGAAGATATGCAAGTGAAAAGCAACAAGTTGGAAGAAGAAGCATCAAAGATAGGACTTCAGGTGAACATAGAGAAAACAGAATGATGAAGATTCCTGGCCAACAGCAACAGAAATAACAGACCACAATCAGCATATGTGGGATGAACCTGAAGGAAACAATCTCCTTTACCTACCTACCTACCTGGGAAGCATCGTTTCAACTACAGGCCGACGGAACTGACGAGGATATCAAAGCCAGAATCGGAAAAGCAAGGCAAGCTTTCATTACTCTTAAGTCTGTGTGAAGATCAACAGCACTCACCATAAAATATAAGACCCGGATTTTCAAATCCAATGTGTAGTCAGTTCTATTATATGGATCACAGACTTGGCGCGTCATAAAGAGCGTCTCAAACAAACTTCAGACCTTCATCAACAGTTGTCTTCGCTCAATACCACTCAAGATCAGATGGCCAGAAAAGATCAGCAACAAAGATCTCTGGGAGCGAACCAACCCAGCAGGAACCGAATGTGAAACAAATAGGTAGGAAGAAATGGAGATGGATTGGCTGGCCATACGCTGAGGAAAACATCAAGTGAGTGACATCACTAGACAAGCCATTGCTCGAATGGAACCCGAGAGGGAAGCGGCAAGTTGGTCGTCCAAGGTTGAGGGAGGGAGGAAGGAAGTAATGTGAAGAGGTGATGGAAGCATGTGAGCAGACTTGGAGCGGGGTGAAAACGTTGTCAGAGAATCGAACGCAGTGGAGACGCTCAGCTGAAGCCCTATGTTCCTCTAGGATTTAAAGGAAATAATAATAGATAATATGAGCAAAAGAGATATAAGGTACAATACATTTCTTTATTCAAATTTTCTCAGTACATTAGTGACTGGAATCTTATTGTTCATTTTCCTTCTTTAAGAGGTCCTCTTTCTTTTCTCTGTTTTCCTCTCTGTCTTCCGTAAAGAAGAAAGAAACAATACAGTCTTATCACACCGCTATATTTTATGCGCCTAGGTAAACAAAAAAAGCAGAATAGGAATAAGAATTACACAGAGAAACCAGGCATATGCTGTCAGGAAATTTATTCCTGACATCGGTAGTCACAGAAATCAACAGCAACAAAAGCAGTGAATTTGCTAAAGAAACTGTGATCATGAAAACACAGTAGTCAGTAAGTTCAATTACATGAAAAAGGTTTTATCCTCAAGACAAAGTTTCTTACAATAACCAAGATATAGAACGCTTTGTTTTTTCATCTCCTCATTTCATTCCATATTGAAACGCAATTACAGCAATATTCTCATGAAGACCTAATTAAATACCCCTCATTATTGTCTTCGGTAGTTATAAAAGCATCAACATTGGAAACGATTAAGTCAGAAAGCGTGAACTGGGTACATAAGCTACCTATCTATTACAATTAACGCCACAGAGTAGTGATATTTAGTCTATCAAATTTTATATTTCTCAAACAGTTTCCTGATTTCAGATAAATACATATAAATGCATATCATAACATAGTTTAAGTCGTTAATATAAATTTACTAGTCACCTTGGAGATGGATAGCAACGGACGCATGAAAACCTTAGGTGGTTTTATCACATAAACAAATCTGACTCCAACTGATTTTACTCATGACTTAATGTTGTCATACATAATACCCTAAATAACTGAGAAAATTTACTTAAAGCCTAGAGAAAAGAGTGTTAATATAAATAATATTGCCCAACCATCAGAAAGTTCTGTCCTATACACCATTTTCATTTATTTAGAAACATATTCTGAAGACAAGTTCGATTTTTTTCTGAGGGAGTGTTGGCAGCTTAATGAAGTATTCCTGGAAGCATTTAACCGTATCACAGTTGTGTTGCCTCTTTTTTACTTCACGCATTCATACTACTTAGCTTCTTCTGCAAAAAGACTAAACACATTAAAAATAACTGAAGTTTACAGTAATTAAAAATTAATTGTTTTCACTTCAGCATTATAAACCATAAACCTAGATTCATGCCAATGGCTTATCAGCTTTACTTTAGTTTTCTGTGAATTCTACCACTGTATTATCTGCTGTCGACTTGACACTCATATCGTCAATAAGAATTTTGATGCCACCATCTGGGATGTTGTCCATTACTATTTGTGGTTATGCATACAGATGTTCCTTCTTCTCTTCTTCCGCGTTGTTTGTAATATTGCGCGTAGCATTGGGTAATTTTAATCCTACTTCCTTTTGAGGTGAATCTCTGTCATAACCCTGGATGAAATTGGTTCCCACTACATTATGGTTTTGAGTGCTGTTAGTGACATCATGATAGCCACTCACTTCCTCAGTGTGCTTGTGGTTCTCATATGAGTGATCAGAGTATGTTACTGACTCTCCAGCCGACAGTCTGGATAGTTCACAACTTTTTCATTCTCTCTGTCGGATTCATTGCACTTCTATGCCGTATCTTTTCATCTCTTTGTCAACCTAGAAAGCGTTCTTAGCTAGCTTTGTAACTTGTGCAAACATACCAATGTTTATTTTCTCTTATACAGAAGCAAGACGGCTGACAGGTTTTTCGTAAGCATTTACCAGCATGCGTCATTGCGTCCCTTCGGTTTCGGCGAAGAATAAGTCTGTTTTTTTATATTTTCCTTGTGTTTTGAGGTTTCTCTAGCGACTGGATTGATTCTCCAGAGTGGAGTCGCTAGCCATACTAGCAACCTTCCCTCTTTTCTCAGGCTTAGTAACCGTCATAAAACTAGCGAATTAGGTACCATCGTTCCAACTACAGGGAAGTATCCGGACTTCAAAACTAGAATTTGAAAGGCAAAACAAACCTTAATCATTCTGAAATCAGTTTGGAAATGTGCTGCATCCAGCGTAAAAAAACAAAATAATATGGAACAAAATAAGGATTTTCAACATCATTGTTAAGTCAGTCAGTGGTTTTATATGGTTCAAAACTTGACAAACGCGTCATCAAAAGCATTTTCGGCGCATCACTGAGAAGACCATTGGATGACATTGGGCAGAATGCCATTGCTCGAGTGAAACCCTAATGACGCAATGAGTTTTGTGTGGGTTCTTGGATGATATTTGAGAGATTGTGTGGTGATTAGGTGAAAGCTTATGAGTGATCGTAGCGCCAGCTAAATAGGACTCTACAGAACAGGATGGAATGGAGACGTGCTGATGAAGACTTATCTTTGACACATAACCGAGGAGAATAATACGTTTTCCATGAAAACAGGGTTTTCATTCAAATATTTCTAACAATATAAAAAGCTACACATGTTCTGCCAGCTGATAAAAAAGCATTTTGCTAGGCCCAAAGATTCAACACCGCTGAATATATATCATTAAAACAACTAGCCGCGCTGAAATAGTGCTAGTGAAAATCGTAATAAATTCTTCTCGGTCTTATAAGGTGTAAAAATGCTCCTGGAGGTGCATTCACTGAAAAAATCACTAGATCAGGGCCCAAACCTGTTGAGAAGACCGAGTAAATACAGCGATATTTCTCTCACAGATTGCATCACTTTATGAGTTCTTAGTGTAATAATTCTGGCGACTGACTTAAGAAGAGCGTTTCCCAAATTCCACTTAGGAGTTTCGACTAGCGCGGTTCACAAAGTTAGATGTGAGGACAGAAAATCATCGATGACATTAGAATTCGTCAGTGCCATAAACCAAGAATCTACGGAGACTGTTCTAGTGGCTGGGTAGTTGATGAATTCGTCTCGCGGTGTGAATTTCTGGGTTTGACCCTCAATAGGGTCAAGGGTGAGTACTGCTGAAAGGTCCCAGACAATGACAAAGTGGCTGTCCAGTACTCTTTAGTTTTTAGTGATCTTTTAGAAGTTGTCGGTTCTAAATCTAAGCCGACCATGCATATGGTCCAGGGTTCGATCCCCTGCCGATGCACACCTGATATCAATGGTCGGCCTGCAAAATTTGGGCTTCCGATATCGCATGCTAAAAATTCCATACTTGTACCAAAAATACGGTGTGGAATCAAGCTGTAATCAAAAAAAGATGTACTGGATAGTGCTTCCAGCACAATGTATTTCTTATAGCTTCGAAACTTAAGTTTTATAATTTTCTTTATTCACCACTATTTGTCGTAGGGACAGAAAGTGTTTCCAGATGTCCATGTGGACACATGTTGACTCATTTCCATTGCACATATTTTCAACTGATTCAATAAACAGAGCTTCCGTTTTCAATCTGTCCCGTCACCCTGTTATATTAGATTTTGAGACTGTCCACTTATTTTATGAAAACAAAACTAGCAGTAAAGGATTTAAATCATCAGTAGTACTAAGAAGGAACCTCTGAAACCTTGCGGAAAATTCTTAACAATGTAGGAATAAAAGTGACAATTAAACCCACAAACTCAAGTAGAAACAACGTCTGTCAGTTAAGAGATCTTGTGGATCCAATTAAACGAATTGCATTAGTTTTTCTGATACCCTGCTAGCGATGATTGTCAGGACAAATCATTAAGACAGGGTAAATCAGACTAGTCAAACATAAATATCTAGCGAAATCTAAATTGGTTAACCCTAGTAAAACAAGAAATTTGGAGAATAGCCGGACTATAGCACTACATTCAACTACACACAACCAAACATTAGCTTGTGATAAGATCACAGTTTTAAAATCAAATATGTCAGGTTGAAGGGACGGATGGATAACAGAAACTTTATTTATCAAAGCAACTGACAACGCATACAACAGAAGTGATTTAACCCTTGTCCAATCAGACATCTGAAGAAGTCTATTATTCCTACAACAAATGGAAAGGAATAAACAAAAATAAAACGGAAGTTTAGAAGTTGGTGTGGTTAAGACTGATTTAATTATGGAAAGTAAATTGTGCACGAAACATCATCTAGTAAATAATACTGTTTCACTGTATGACGCATTTAATAAACGTATTTTAATATAGGATTAACCATCAGATATAATAAATACAGTTATAATTTCAACAACCATTCAAAATACGCGCTATATTTTTCGACTTTAAATAAACAAGATCTTATAGAAAAACAAAACAAAAATAAGTATTATAAAAAAATGATATTTTTATTTACAATAAAACAAAAATATGCGTATATATCATAAAAATTAGCAAAAAAATATTGTATATATATAATTAGCTTAATATTTGGTGTTGTACATTTAATCTCATCTAATCTTATCTTTATTTAGTCTTTCCCATATTTGAATTAAGAACACATTCAATAAATGACATTAAACAATGACATCTTGATCTCCTGTCCATACACGACATTTATCAAATACATAAATTAAGCATAAACAAATTGTTGAAGCTGAAAATAATATAATTGGCCAAAATACTGCATGAAAAACTGCATTAAAGGTATAAAATTTATACAATAAAGCTTCATCTTCATGTGTTGCATGAACATAACACTTAAAGTGTCGTTGAAGTCGTATTCGGCGTTGAAATTGTTCTACCCATTCAGTATTATCCATATCACGATGATGACATGCACTTGTAGCACACTGAAATAGATATATAAAACAAAAAGAAAAAGAAATCAGTTATAGTAAAACTGACTATCAGTATTCTTTAGTTTAATGACGCTGTTCCTACCGTGGCCAAACTTGGATTGATGATTCTTCTTCTCACCAAGAGTGCTCCTCCCTTTAACCCTCTTGGTTTTTTCTCCTTTGCTTATAATTACAATTGTTATTATTAGCCATAATTTATGCCCTTCATGCAAAAATTCTCTCGATACTATCGAATTTTTCATTTATACGGACTCATTATTAGTGATGTTATCTGTTTTCTCAATATATGCCTCCACATGTTCCATTTAACATATTCGTTATTTCATTATGAACCTCTCATTGCAGTCTTACTATCTCTTGTTTAACTCAGACGACTTTGTACTAGCCACTCACCCACCTGACTCCTTTTATAAACTTGAACTGATTTGTCAATTTTCCTACCCCACACTCTACAAATCTATTATGATTAATCGCCACCACTGTCTCCAGTTTTTCAACACTTTGGCAATCGATTTCAGCCCACGAGCACGTTTGTCACACGAATAAGACTATTTATTTTGACAACCCATATACTGATCTGTTATTCTACGTAAAAAATGTATCCGCCACATAACTGCCCTTTATTGTAACGACAGCAATAAATATTATATTTTATCATTGTAAGAACCCAAAGAGGTGAAATTAATGAAAAGAATATTCTTCGTTCATATTGACTTTCAATATATTGAAGCCAATAAAAACAATCATATAACATAAAACTGACTTAACAGTGTCATCCCCAGTAACTGAAACAGTAGAGAAGATTTGTAACTCAGGTGGATGTTTTGCAATTAGTTGTGTTATCTCAGCTGGTTGGGTCAATTGCGGAGTTTTCGTCGTCCTTCTGGATAACATCTCCCCTCAACAGAAGTTTTAGCATAAAATGAACTGATTTAAATTCTCCATGAATGACAGAATCTTTGTGACTGGTAGTCGATTTACATCTATATGATCATGTTTTATGGACTTGGGTTTGAAACTTTCTCGTCACATGACTTACATTTTATAAGTTGGTAGATTTGGTTTATACTAACATGTTTGTCAATCACATATTATCTTAAGCACCAGGCTTACGTCAGTGGCACAGCGGTTAGGACGCTCGCCGACCATGCACAGAGTCCGGGGTTGAATAACCAGTCGACACACCCTTTTACGTAGCTAAGTCAGAAATAAGCTGGTAAAGAGGGAAGGTTGGGCATGAGGCTAACAACCTCATCCTGTAAAAAATAATAAACACTGCTACAGAAATTTATGGTGTTTCCTCTATTTAAAATTTCCACATTATTCAATTAAAATGATGTCCATGATTATTTACATGCACTGATCTGAAAGGATATATATCATGTCTTTTCACAGCTGATTTGTATTCCTGGATTTTTATTCGAAGGGGACGCCCACTTTGTCCGAAGTTATGTCTTTTACAGTTCATACAAATTATTATCTAAATGGTATTAATTTTATAAAAAATCAGAACAAGTGATTCAGCGAAGAGACTCTTTTCAACGAATTTATCATCAAGCTGTACAGTCGTAGATATATGGTTTTTTTTAAAGAAAGTTGGTTCTATAAAAAACTTTGTTCTACATGTTACAATAGGAATTTTCCATGGGTATTAATTTTATCCTCTTTTTCTGTTGGATCTTTCGTTTCACACAATAGTGAATGAAGTGATTGGACTGAGTTGTGTGCTATATCTATTTCAAAAGGTTTCGGTATTTGAGCTGTTATTTCTGAGAAATTTTTTTTATACATGGTAGGATGAATTTTCTTGCAGTCTTTGATGATAGTTTCATACCAATGCAGGCAGATGATTATGGATATCAATTTGATTGGGATAAAGACGAAATTTTAGACAGATGAAACACCAAAATATTGTAAGGGTATTCCTAAGAGCCTGGTACGCAAGAGAATGTGCAATTCACAAACATGTTAGTATAAACCAAATCTACCAACTTATAAAATGTAAGTCATGTGACGAGAAAGTTTCAAACCCAAGTCCATAAAACATGATCATATAGATGTAAATCGACTACCAGTCACGAAGATTCTATCATTCATGGAGAATTTAAATCAGTTCATTTTATGCTGAAACTTCTGTTGAGGGAGATGTTATCCAGATGGACGACGCAAGCTCAGCAATTAAACTAACCAGCTCAGAGAACAGCACTAATTTCAAATTCCCACTAATTGTTTGTATTCACTCTCACTTCAGAATATGTACATTACATCATAGAGAATATTCAAAAGACGATTGCATTATGGATAGTAGATGGAAGAGAAAATTCTAGAATTATTTCTAGTCAAGGATCAAATTATTAGGATTTCGAATAGGAATAAAATGTAATATTAACAAAGTAAACAGAAAGATCTGATGAAAGGCAGTAGGATCATAATCATTGAGAAAATTGACTTTTGGTGCATTTAGGGAAAGAAAGACTTAAAAATAACAGACATAAACAGGAATTTTGAATAAGAAAGTTGATAGGATAATCACTACTGAGGGAATCGACATTTTATTGATGGTCATGATGGAAGCAAAGTTTGGACGTATTTCTTTGGATCACAGATGACTTGATGTCACTTCCTTTGAAAGGTTTGATAGGGTCTTGTGTATGACTTTGAAGAAATTAGCAAATAGAGCTGCATGACCTGAGTTCACCAGATATTCCGTTCCCCAAATGTATACACACCTACGTAATCCTTTGGTAGATAAGATGGATAAAGTTGCTAAGCATCCGTCCGGGCATTTTCGCATAGCTGAAGCACTAGCTATTCAAACGTTTAGGCCAGCACTAGATATCCAAAAGAGATACATTCAACCATTGTTTCTACTATGGCCATTATAAACAGTCGATTCTCTCAATAGTGATACTTCGATTACCTTTCTTATTCGAACTTCCTGTCTTTTTTTCTGTCTTTATGTATTTAACCCTTATTTTGCACAAAATTGTCAATTTTCTCAATAATTATGATCCTACTACGTGTTTTCTGATCTTTCTGTTTATTTTCTTACTATTGCGTTTTAATTTCTATTTGAGATCTTGTTAATTTGACCCTTAACCGTAAATGGCTGTGATCCAGAAGAACCAATAATAAACGATTTACAAAGTAATGAGTGACATAGTCTATTGATTTCAACAAAACAGTTACACACGTTTTGTTTTTGATATGGTTTTGTCCCCTGAGCTGGATGAATTATTTGCAAAACTTTCATCGTGCCTCTAGACAACATCTTCAATGTTCCATGAGTGGCATAAATATCTCTCCTGATTACGTTGGCTATGAATGCTTTCCATCTTCAGGTTTTGTTTCCTTGTTTCTTTTCATTAACCTGCATTTCTAGCTTTTCGCCATTTGTGTCACGCGAACTGTTCTTTGCTTGTTGGTAAATTTGATCTATACCAATGCATCTATTGAATTAAGATTGATTTGAGTACCAATCAGATTTCTAAGAATTTTTCGACATTTCTAGTATTTCATGTTTCAGATTTTTACATTTTCCCAGTCAAATTGGTGATTACAGCTGTCTAGGTGTATTAATAAGAAGGGATAAACGTCGTGCATTCTGATAGCTAGTTCCTTGAGGTGATGCATGCTAGTGTTTTCACGATTGATCGAATTTATTTTGTAGATGGTTGTGTTGTTTCTGTTTTTATTTCCTGTAATTGCATTGGTTTGTGTGCAGTGTGTATTCCGAAATGTTTCAGTATTCTAGCCATGACTTTAGTAGTATTCTGCAGGTGTAGTTGGAAGAATTTTCCTAGAATTTCAGAGGATGGTTTCATACTGGTAGTTTGACTCAAGTTTAGACAGTTTTTGATGAAGCTGTGAGGGCATCCATTTTCCTCTGTAAACAGTCAGTAAACATTTCTCTATTCGTTTCTACAAGACTGGATTGTTGCAATATGTCTCAGCTTTTTGGAAGGGTGTTTGCATACGGTTTCTTTTGTTTGCTGTTTGATAACTTTTATTACCCTTGAGTTTTGATCCGTGTGGGTTGATTTCTTGTATACATGTTGTTGTTCTCCTTGTTACGACATGTAAGAAGGGAATTTCACTGGTTGATTCTTCTTTGCTTTTGAACTTGAAGTTTTCTAACACGTCTCTGATTCATACATGGAGCGCTTTATAAATTATTCTTTCTGATCAAATGAATGCGTCGTCTAAATAATGTGTCCATATTTTTGGTTTGGTTATTAGTCAAACTAAGATTTTGTAACAGAGCAGTTGATTGTAAAATCCCTCTTGAATGATCTACTTACGATAATACTACTTATTTAGACACTGAGACTAACTTAGTAATTATTGTCCTTTATTTTCCAAGACTGTATATCACTGTTCTGGTATTTGCATATCATCTATTGACTCAGTCTTTATTATTTGTCTTCATTCCACTTTAATCTGTAAATTTAATGATTCTCTTTGTGGTTGTACGACGGTATTGATAGTGAGCTGTTTTACGACTGCAACTTTTGTTTGAGTAATTAAAGGTTATTCTAACCTTGAACTGTCTTCAGGAATTCCTTGGTGTGTGATTCTCGCTGACAGAGTTTTGATCACAGTGACTTATAGTTAAATTTGGGTCAACAAATTTTGTTGTGCAGTACACTAGTTTTGCACTTCAGAAATCCTTGACTTGTACAGCTGACTAACTAACTGGGTAATTTTGCTTTTTGATAAATTATGATTGTTAAGAACTACCACAGTTTTTATTGCAAATAACTGTCTTCTTACTGTCGTTAGCATATTTTGTGACTGTGAATAACTGATAGAAGATTTGTGCAGCTATAAAACAGAAACCAAACATTTTTTTAATATTTATTAATAATAATAGCATTACTTTTGATACAAATACGGAATTTTTAGCATGTACTAGTGTATTGTATCTAACTTTCTCATTACAGTGGTTATAATTAAATAAGAGGGAATTTGCAGTGATAATATATTTCAAC